GCACTGGTATTTCCATGGGTTGCATTGGATCGTGAGGTCGTTGTCTCAATTCGTTCTTGATTCGTATCAATACTTTCGTTTCTTTGTTAATTTGCTCTCTGTTTCCAGATAACAAACATTTCCTGAGAGTGGTCATATGAAAGCGGTATTCCGAATTAAGGTCAATCTCACCGCACACGTTGTCACAATGATTATCTTCAGGATCGTCAACGATCATGGCAGATATTTCCGTCATCATTGGCGATTGAGAAGAAGCTATATTTCACCGTTATGTATCAAAAAAGCAGGAGAATATGAAAATAACGAATATGTTGATGTCTCCTCTGATGTTATATAGAAACAAATGATAATAAAGCTATATTCATCAAAGATAAAAGTGAAGTTTATAACTTTCTTTCAATGCTGTGCAAATACTTTGAAGATATATGAGTAACAAATTATACAATTTATGGCTTGTTAGTAGGTTGGAAGAAAACCGAAAAGAGATCTGACTCATTCTTTCACAATGAATTGAAACGTGTGAGAATGGAGTTTCTTGTCCTATTTGGGATTGTGCAGGATATTGTATCATAAATATCATGCAGCAAGCGTACGCAAAACAAAACACATGACCACCCTACATTTATTTCCATGATTTTGAAGTATGAAAATGTTTTAGAAACTAAAAAAAGATTAGAAATAATGTGTTGCAAATGTTATGAATATAAAGGCGGATGCCCCAATATTTAGTTGGTAGAAACTTAGACAAACTTTTTTCTCATGCACTACAACATCAGCCTGTCAGTGTCCGACTCGGATCGGTCTGGTTCATGAAAAAAATACTCGATCTCGGGTCGGATCATAAAAAATTAACCAATTTCGGACTTCGCATCGGACAAAGGGTCATATGAATTTTGCCATAAGGAATTTTCGACCCGGGCCAAAATTTCGGTAATTTGTTGACCCGAACCCAAAGTCCTGTTGAAAAAAAAGAAGTACCTTGTCTTGGACCCTAATTTTCACCGGGCTTTTGGACCGCATCTCAGTATCATTCGGATTTTTGGTTCTAGGAATATTTATTGATTTCCATAAAACCTTTTATTTGATTAATTAGTTGCGCACTGCATAGTGCCGAGCAGTATGTCGTAGCATTGAGCAGAAGGTCGTCCTGCTGAACGGTACGTCGTCCTGCTCAGCACTATGTTGTCTTGCTCAACACACTGTTCTCCTGATATGCTCTGTATCATCCTGCTGACCGGTACGTCGCCCTGCTCAATACACTTTCATCCTGCTCACAAGGGAACATTCTCAGGTGTCGGAACGCTTTTCAGTCGGGATTTTGCGCATCTTGTAGCCCTCAGTGAGCTGTGTCTATGGTAAAGAAAGTTCATGCTCATGGCTTGTTTCTAGAGAGATATCGATGTTTTAATGAATTTTCTCTGTAGGACCCTACTTGTCCAGTGCAACCATATTTTCGAATTTTGACATGAAAGTTTGTTCACATAAAGTCCTCAACTAGACTAGCTTGCAAAAAAAATTCAGAATTTTTCGACGAAGTCTCTTCGAGATATGAAGACTTCAAAAAATTCATTCTGTATATACTATCTGAGGAAAAGAGCCCATTTCTTGGAATCTTCATATCCTGAAGAGACTCCATCGAAAAATTTTGAATTCTTTTTTGCAAGCTAGTCTAGTTGAGGACTTTATGTGGACAAAGTTTCATGTCAAAATTCAAAAATATGGTTCCACTGGAAAAGTAGGGTCCTACGGAGAAAATTCATTAAAACATTGATATCTCGCTTGGAACAAGCCATAACCACGGAATTTTTTTACCATAGACACAGCTCACTAAGGGCTACAAGATGCGTGAAACCCCGACTGAAAAGCGCTCCGACACCTGTGAATGTTCCCATGTCAGCACTACGCAGTGTATCACTTCTCTCTAGAAACGCCACTTTTTATGCAGATTATCCGATGGATTTGGGCCTGGGCCGAAAGTGTTGAGAGATTTTTTTCTGAAACCTAATGTTATGCATGACTTACGTGTAGGTGGGTGTGGGTGTGTGTGTGGGGTGTGAGTGTGGGTGTGGGTGCGGGTGTGGGTGTAAGCGTGGGTGCGGGTGTGGATGTGACTGTGAGTGTGGGAAAGAGGAAGCAAAATCCACACCCACACCCAACCACACCCACACCCACACCCACACCCTCCAAATTGGCCTGTATCATGTTTTTTCATTTCTATCGCATCTTATTTTGTTTTAGGTCTTTTAGTAGAAGGTGAGTTTCTCTTTATTGCGTACATCATAAAAATATCGCTTGTTTACATCGAAAAAACATATGCGTATGAATTATTGTTCACCGCAGATCGATTGATGCACACTTTTCATCGCATAAACAAGGTTGAGGATTTCAGACAGATACAAAATGCTTTCTTATTATTATGTCAAATTATTTACTCATGGCATGAACCACAATCCGACATCAGCGAAAATAAATACCCAAACAAGCATAAAATCGATGCTATTAGCCTTGGTTGGCTTTTTCCAACTACAAAAGTAACAAGCATTAATATTTTTTCTTTCCTCTCACATTCTATCTTTTTTTGGTCTTTTAGTATAAGACGAGTTTCTCTTTATTACACACAGTATAAAAATATCGCTTGTTTACTGGGAGAAAAAGATATGTGTATAAATCACTGTTTATCGCAAATCGGTTGATGCATACTTGTTTTTTTATCATAATAACAAGATTGATAATTTTACACAGATAAAAAATACTTTCTTTTCATTATTTCAGATTATTAAGCAGTAGTGTGAATCGCAATCCAGCATTAGCGAAAAGAATTGTCCAAGTAAGCATACAACCGATGTTGTTAAAGTTTGTTGGTTTTTTCCAACATACAAGAGTAGCAAACATGAAAATGGATATCAATGACACTAGTACACAGCATGTACCAAGTCGATATGTAAAAATTCTTCATGTATGTTGGGGAACATTAATTTAAAAGGACGTTTTTCATTCTTAAATATCTGAAATGAGACTTTTCCATTCGTTTGTTAGAACGCTTTGGGATTGATGACGATGGAGTTGTAACATGATGCGAATCTTGTTTATGTTCCTGTCGTGTTGAGAAGACCGTTTGATTGTTAGAATGCTGATTGTAGGAGTGGTAGTCGTTCGAGGTAGTTTATATTGATTGCTAGTTTTGATGATCAAAATGATTAGATCATGTGGCACTAAACACGTTGGCAAACATAGAGTTAAGGACCTCAACAGGAACCACCATCAACGAACTCGATACAACAAGATCACCGGTCACGTTTCGATAAACAAGGAGCAAGCATAACTGACTGCGACGGACGCGCTTGTGTAAGTAGTGTGTGAGTTTGTGTTTATATACGATGATATCAAAGGAGACGAAGAATATATCTTTCTTATTAATAGAAGTGCAGAGAAAGAAACGACACTATTTTTTTTTACTGCTAGTGTATGCGTATCGGTTAAAGGGTAGTGCAAATAGAAATCGATTAATGTAGGTTCATACTTAAGAATTCGCACTGAGAAGGTATTTATGTCAAGATTTTTCTGCAAGAGTCAAACAACTATTATTCATGTTTATTTTTCATTTGATTTTAGAAACTACTATGCTGACACATATCATTCTTTCAGACGACACGTTCGCCGATTTAAGTGAAAAATATGGATGTTCAATAAAATCTATAATGTCTTATAATCCTGGTGTGGAACCCAAAGCATTACAACCAGGTGATAAATTGTGCGTTCCTGAAAACAAAGATAGGTTGATTGTAATTTTTTGCTTATGTGTGGAATTTGCAGTCACTAGGATTATTAATCCATTAACATCAAATTTTTGTCTATTACTGCCGCCATCATTTTCGAAACATAAAATTAAAGAAAATGAAACATTTTCGAGTTTGAGTCAAATTTATGGATGTGAACTCGAAGATATGGAGTTCGTTAATCCTGGAGTTATTCCGACTCAATTGCAAATTGGTCAAATAGTGAACCTGCCTGGAAGAAGAAATAAAAGTTGGCTCTCTTCATATCTTTGCTGCTTTGTTCGTTTTATATTGTCTTTGATCGCTCAACCACCAATATCGACACCGGTTTCATCTTCAACAGACCAAATTCAATCAGGTGACACTTTTTTTTTGTTTGATTTTTTGAAGGCATCAAAATCATATTTCCATTTTCAATGGATCATATAAGAGAGGTTTGCATTGGTCATCAAGTGCTGCTATTCTTCTGGAGATGTCAATTACTACAGATAAAATTTCAGATTACAACAGGTTGATTAAGTATAACTGATATGACAAGAAAAATGAACTTTTTTCAGATTGTGATAAGAGAAGATTCCTGAAAAATATTTCTCAAAAAAACCTAGTCTCAGCATTTTATTTCTGTTTACAATTTAATGTACTTATTAGAATTTATGAAATTTTTATTTAGAACCAAACATGGTTCACGCAGGCGTACAACCAGCAGAATCAATACCAATAAATTATATGATTCTTAACGGTGGAAATTAGTAACAAAGTAATTGTTGGTTTTATACGCAATCAAAAGAAAGTCATGAAAATTATTGATTTAACAGCAGCGATAAAACATTTTGTGAAATGTTTCTTTTATCTTCTTGTTTTATTTATTGAAAATATGAATATTTCATGTCAACGTTTCGGCTCACTTGAGAGTGATTTTCAAGACAAATAGAAAGGAAAATAAGAGTGTGTATAAATATATATGTATATTCATTGAAGCACATTATATAATAATGACACTTCAGAGCTTGATTATGAATTAGTTATTTATCGGAATTCTGATAACTTCGCCGAGTCGATGATGTATTATGTTTTGTTGACTGTAACCCTTCGTGGTATATTAAGAGTGCAGCTGATGTAGTTAGTTGTTCTGTATAACGTAGGTTGATGTTGCAGTATTGCCAGTGATTCTCTGATTCGTAGTTTATATGGATGTGGATCTGTTGACAATATTTTCCATTCCTGTCAGTCAATTTGATGTCCATGTTCGAGCTCATGATCGTGCAGGGCAGATTTGATGTTGGAATAGTCTGCGGTTTCGTTTGTTGTTGGGTTATCTAAAGAAGAATAAGTTGGTTGTTTTGCGCTTTCTAAACGATCGGAACGTCTCAAGGTTGTATCCGAAGCTGCTATGGGTTGGGAGTCGCAGTTTTGTTCATCAGGTTGGTTGGTGCCTATCGAAGCATCATGCTCATAGTGTCTTCGAGTTGCTTGACGAATTATTTTGCCGATGTAGGAAGCTTCGCAGTCGTGACATGTTATTTCATAGACAAGATGCAAGTGAAGATCTTTTTGAATAGGATCTTTTTGTGGTAGAAGATCTTGAATTGTTGGTGGGGGTCTTGGAATAGGTTGAATTTTTATTTCTGGTCGAACTTTGGCTGCGATCTTGATGAGCTTTTTCCCTAGCATAGAAGTTGGTCTTCCTGTGCACGGAATATCTACGAGTAGCGTTTCTTTCTTTTTGGTTTGCTGTTTTAGTGTTGGTGGTGCAGTATTTGTTGCTGTTGTGCTTTTTGTTTCAGGAAGGATTGGTGGTGAATTTTTAGAAGTAGTTGTTGTTGGTTTATTTCGTCGCTCTATGTATCTGTTTAGTCCGATGCGAATTTGTTGGTCGATGAAATATGATGGGTAACAATTTGCTGCAGAAACTCGTTTGATAAATTTTAGTTCTTTATCTAGAAGAGGAAAGGTGGAGCAAGTTTTTATGGCGCAATGGATCATTGATGCAGTTGCACTCTTTTTATATTGTATGAGTACAAATGATGAAAATTTGATTAGTAATCCAGTGTATGTATGTACTCTTGCGAAAGATAGTTGTTTCAAAGCAAGACTTCGTTTGAATATTAGGTGAGTTGAGTCGCTTTATTTTTATATCTAGAAAAGAAAGAGTATATGAAGATTCGAGTTCTTGTGTGACTTGTATTGCTGGGTGAAACGAGTTTAATATATTTAACAGCAGTGTCAGCTCCGCAGTTTCATCGATAATGGCGAACGTATCGTCCACATACCATTTTCCAGACTACCAGACCATGAGCTTGTAGTAGAGGCAAGAGTCGTTTTTCTAAATGAACAAGGAAGATGTCCACGAGTAAGAGCCCCAAGGAGCTACGCGTCGCTACGCCGTTATGTTGAATGAAAAGTTGGTTGTTAAATTGGAAATGAGTTTCTTTTGTGGCTGTATCTAGAAGCCATTTCATTTTTTGTCGGTTGAGGCAATTCTTGCAGTTATCTTCCTCTTTTCTTTTCCTCTTCTTCTTATTTTTGCCAGCCTGAGAGTACACGCATTGCGAGCCATATTGTTCGTTGAGAATTAAGTTGATGGTGTCATCCAATGGTACTTTGGTGAACAGGCTAACCACGTCGAATGATACCATTTTGTGTTTGGACATGTCGATTTTTAAACTGTGGGTGTGGGTGTGGGTACAGAGAAAATCGACAACTACATACACACCCACACCCTACCCACACCATTTTATTAGCTTATCATTAGATTACATAGTTGATTCTACTTGTCGGTTCGAAAACTAAAGAAATTCAAAAGAAGAAAGCAAACTAAAAGCTGCGTCAAAACAATGGATGGGTGTGGGTGTTCATCTTTTCATTCAGTTGATCTCTACTGAAACATTCTACGATAAAAAATTCTGAATTTTTAAAATATACCAATTTGTTTAGCATTGCTCTGAAAATGAATTGTTCACCTTTTTCGGCATTCTTCTTGCATAAATGTCTTACTCGTTTCAGAAGCAGAATTGTTTATTTCAAATTGTGCACAAAGATGATACACTGGAAACACTGCATACAAATTTCTGCTGTCTATTAATTGAATACTAATCCTAATTCTAAAATGAAACTTGAGGATGGGGTGAATGTAAAACACATCAACTTTAATAGAAAATAACAAAATCCAAGCTATATTCGGGAGAAAGGTTTTTCAATAAAGTTTTTCAACTTCAGCAATTGCATGGTTGCCACCATTCGGAAAAATGATCTTCAAGCGTTTCAAACGATTTTGTTGGTTTTCTATGTAGAGTTCATACAATTGCTTTACTTGTGCCTCCCCAACACCAAGTGCTTTGGCAAGTTCATGAATAGCTTCTACTTCTTTTGGATGAAGCTCACCATCTGCACCCGCTGCTCGAAATCCATCGTAGATTAAGCTCAGTTGACGATGTATTCCATTACTGTGACCACTTTCAGCATGAAACGTTGCCAGTACACTATCCATACCTTTGTGTTGATAGGTTTGAAGTTTGTCTATTACGACTTGTGACGATCCTAATGTTAAATGTTTGTAGTTATTAGTAGGTCTAAAATAACAAATATTTACCTATAGCACAGGCAAGACCGATAACCCATTGACGTTCGGCTTCACTCAAAACTCCATCCGCTGCAGCTACCTCCATTAAAGCTATCATGTAATCAGATAGCAGTTCATCTTTAAGTATTATATTATCGATATCGTACTCCTCTTTGAGTACCCAAACACCACCCTTGATAGTGCGATCTGTAGAATCGTTTGACATTGAGTTTCTTATGTTGTCGAATATATCTATGTATTGTCGTATTACCAACGATTAATAATTATTAGGAATGCACATACAAAAACATCTAGTCTTGCTTTTCTTTTTTTTTCCTTTCTCTATTGTTTATCTTTTGCTAATCAATCCATGTCGAAATTGTCTTTAAGACTTTCTACCCATTTCTGCGTTATTGTAAGAAGCAAATGTCTTTCTATGTCAAACTATGAAGTAGATATAGAACAAATAGTATATATATATTAATTTGGAGAAACGCATTCTGAAAAATAAAAAACATATTATGGAGTGATGAATAAAGAATAGGATTACGATCCATAATAGGATTATTTCTTTTTGTCTCATCCGTCAGTATCAATCTAGTATAGAAGATGGATGTATTTTTGTCCATGCATTACGATTTCAACAATTGTAGTGTGTACTCTGCTCTCCATTGATATATGTGTGATGAAAATTGTAGATAAAAAAAAAGCCTAGGATAAAATTGAACAATAAAAATGAATATTATTTGATAGCTGGCATTATTTTATGCTGCTCTATTTTGTTTTCTTTAGCCAGATTCTAATTGTATTATCTACTGATTATCAATTAGAAATCTATATGCATATTATATTTAGATGCAATTTCTTCTGCCTTTCTTTAGTTATTTTCTGATAACGGCTATTTTATGCTTTCCAAACCTTGAATGACAATAATAACTTTTTTTTCCGAACATGAAAAATCTATTCAGTTGCAGTACAATACTCACATGTTGCTGATATTTCGTCGACTTTATCCTACTGAAATTGTATACTGTATAGTGTATTACACTGCTCAGAATAAGTCAACCATTTAAAGATTCTAGGTTGTGGATGATTCATATATTAATGGAGAATTCCAGAAATTTATCTAATGAGCAATAACTAGATTACATAAAATATCCAATGTACAGCGATAAAAAACTTAGTAACTCAAAATCAGTCAAGATCATAAAATGAGAACTGTAGCTAATGAGTCGGAGTAACTATATTAAAAGTTGGGTTTATAATAAAGCAGCTTAAGGTAGGTTTATACAAAACTGTGTCAAAGTTAGACCAGCAACTCATTGTTGGTAATTGGTTAATTATACGTGCCATTATGTATTGTTATTGAAAAAGATTTCTCAATGAAGAGCAGAGTACACACTACAATTGTTGAAATCGTAATGCATGGACAAAAATACATCCATCTTCTATACTAGATTGATACTGACGGATGAGACAAAAAGAAATAATCCTATTAT